GGGCAAAGGCAATAGCCTCCTTCTTCCATACCCCACGTGTCACGGCTGGGAGGAAAGATGGGGTCTTTGTCATTTGTGGCCCTTGCATGGAACCCACTGCTTTGTGCTTCAGCCTACCAGGCCCGACCGGCCTCTGTCCGGACTCACTGCCCTCACAGACCATCCCCCATTTTCCCGTGGCCCTGGAGAACTCGGCCTCACAGCCTTCCTTTCCTTAGACTGCTACCATCCTCAGGGGCCCCAGGATCCATGAAGACCTATCCAAAAGCCTTACTGTTGGGTTCTTCTTTTGGTACCGATAATCTTGTCCACTAGCAAAATCCCTGCACTCCTGTGATCACACCCTCCTGCCCGTCCTTAGCCTCACTGCTCTCTCTCTGAAGCGTCATGTGGACTGCAGCCCCTGTCACTGCTGGTACACCACCCCAACCCCGGAAGGGTTCTCTGTCCTTGGACCTAGTTTCCCTCCACCCGCCAGCCGCCTCCTCTTCAATCCCTTCTCTGGGCCACGTCAGCCATCTCCCTGGATGGTGGTGATCCGCGTTTTGCATGATCCATGACTGCATGTGCCCGAAAACCTTCAACCCTGAGTGAATGTTTGTTGCAGGCCCCAGGCCTACTTCGGGAGCTGACAGAAACCACGCAGGAAAGTGGCACCATGACTTTGTACCGCCAGCTAATATTCAGCAATGGCTGAGTGCTGACTTCATGCCGGATGCGTGGAGGGCTTCGTCTTCAGGACGGCGTCACACATTAGGTAATATTATTCTCAACTTCAAGGGACAGAAAAGGAGTCTCTGTGAGGTGCACACAGGTCTGTTGTCACACAACTGAGGGTATGAGAGGCTCCACACAGGCCGCCTGGCAATCCACAGCCCACCCTCTCGGCCGCTACGCCACACGGTCAGTCCCATGCGCGAACCGGGCCCTCGGCGCTGCCTGTAACCATCTGGCTGCAATTTTCCACGGCGCAATTTTAAACTCACTTGTCCCAAAGCCCTCACTTCCCTACCTTGACTCTCGCTCTCAACAGATGACTGTGCCTCCTAATTACAGAGAAAACAGAAGCCATCAGACCATTTATCTCGCTCTCCCGCCACCAAACACATAAGCTTACCTGCATCATTTTCTTCCACGGCTGCCTTCCCGCCTGTTACAATGTGACATTTTCAAAGATGGAAAAAAGGCACAACTATAAGATAACAGACATGTTCTTTCCAAGGGGATAAAGAATCCATTTTATTTCAGTGGGGGGGGGGGGGGGGGGAGGGGGGAATGTTAAAACAAAGCCATATACAATTTGTAACAAATACAATTGTTTGTTCCCTAGTCCTGAATAATTACAGTATATACAAATTCAATAAGGCACTGGTTCCCCAAAAGAACACAAATGAATCTTCTTTTGAAACAGACAACAAAACCCCTTATATATTGCCAACTTTTCTCCAAAAAATATGGCATTGTTCTTTGTTTTGTTTTACAAGAGGAATCATAATTGCTAAATTAAATCACTTCTGATGCCACTTCTTTCATTTCCACTGCTATGCGACCGAGTTTTCTAAAGAGATAGAACTGCAGAACTATTCAAGTTTAAAAAAAAAAATTGCTTTCAGTGCCTTCCCGCTCACAAACAAAGAACCAGAACAGACCAACGGCGTGAACCTCCGTAACGTCTAATGACTATGCATGACTCTAGGAACACGAAATTCTGTCGTTATTCAGTATTTCCTGTACCTGAGTACACAACAATCGAAATGTGTCAAGGAATTCCCTGGAAACAAAATCTTGGCATGTTTTCTAAGAAGCTTTATGTTTGAAGAATAAACAGAACAGTCACTAGTGGCCTGTGAGCGGTGCTGTCTGGCAAGGCCAAGCCCTGTCTCCTCATACACGACGTTCATAGCACTGTCACTTGTGACTTAACCAACTACATGCTTTCATAAATAAATATTATGTTTCATTTAGTACTTTATCATCCATAATATTTTACTCTCTAATCCACATAATGGAGTTGTGCCAGACTCCAAACTGAACATAATATTTATATATACATATATATTTATATAATATATACACACATACATAAACTATAAACCTGAACATCTTAGCATACGAAACTCACATTAGCTAGCAACTAATATTTTAGGATTCCCTCGGAGGGGAGGGAGTGATTAGAAGAAAATCTTAGTCTTTGAAATAGTCTTGAAAGGAAACAACTGACTACAGTAATTTTCAGGTTCCCACTTATTCTATTGAAAGACAAAACAAAAAAAAAAACAAAATTCACTTCTGAGCTACTAAAAATTTAAAAATCAAAAAGTATGATTTGGAAGTGAGTAGGTAGTCCCTTTAAGAACAATTTAGTATTCCCTAAATAAGGTGGGTTTGGGTAAGATACGAAGAAAAGTCTACTCATAAATAAATGCCTATCTCATTGAAAGACACTAACAACTAAATGGGTCTTTTTAAATATATCAAGAATAATTTTTAAATGTTCATAGTGAGTAAATCAGGTTGAGGATTAGAAAGCAAGCTATAGATTTTTCCAAAACAACTAAACAAATAATATAGAAGAAATTTGGATACTGTTTTAATTTCTTCCCATTCTTCATTGAAACCAAGTCCCCCCTACAAATCTAGTTTACTTTCAAATCATCACCTCCCCACAAAGTATTTTGATTGAAGTTACCTATGTATAAAAATTTACCAAAAATAACACACATTTTTATCTAAGAGGTAAGCCCAACCTCGCTTAAATTTAGGGAAAATCAAGAAACACAACTGCGTCCCCACTCAACGGGCATCAATGTTTGCTTATTTGTTTGTAGATTATCTAATTTAGAGGCACTGAAGTTTCTCTCCAAGGCTCAGATGATTATCACACTTCATTGTACGCGCACATTCCTTCCAAGCTATCACAGGGGATACAATGCGACCCAAGGGAAAGGAACCTTTGGGTTGCGATTCAGGTGATTTTAATCTCACTAAAAGCAGCCTTCTGATTACAATTCTATTTGGAAACGAGTGTTTTTAATCTGGGAGAAACAAACATTGTTCCTATTCAAGGGTTAAGAAAATCTTCGTTACACACAAAACGCGGCTCTAAAGCACTGGGAAGAGAATGCTGACTACAGAACACTCTTTCTCCTGATGTTCTCCCAAACTGTAAGCACAGCTCACAACCACTCTGTGCTCTAAGACGTTTTCAGGTTGAACAAGTCACCAGCTGCAGGCCTACTCCAGAAGTGAGGAGAATATTTTCTCATTTTTCATGCAGCTGTCACATTTTCAAACACCCTCCATCCTCAGGCACCAACTGGTGAAAATGTGTTATAAAACACTGCCCCCTGGAGTATTCTGGAAGGAACGTCGTGTTTAAAAAGACCAAGAAGTACTTCCCCAATTCTTCACTAAACACTGCAGAATCTCTAAGAAACAAAAGAAAACCACAGTAAGGACACCTAGACGGATACAGGCGAGAGGGGTGTGCACAATTTTAAGCTTTATGTTCCTGTTGCTGAGGAATATTGGCCCTGTCAATGATCTGACTCACGTTCCTCAAAAGTTCAAACCCCACAGAGCCGAGTAGGTGAGGAGATGCTTTGCACAAGTGCCACAGAGAAGAAAAATAAATAAATTAATTAACAAGTGAACTGAACGTCATGAAAATAAAATAAACTGAGTCAGCACTCGTAAGACGTGAAATTATCATTTAGGGTGAGTATGCTCGATCCATATCTATCTTAGAATAATAAATCACAGCAGCCATAATATTTTGTGCCCTCCACTTGCTCTCTTCTGCTGTCCCCTCTGGAGGTTATATTTCTACTTTTAAATTAAAATTTAGTTAAATTAATATGACATGCTTTCTCTCCTTCCCTTCACTCAGACACAAAAGAGACAGACAATAACAAAAAGAAACTGTCATTATCTATATACAAAATAAGACAGGCATACTTTCCCTTGTGCTTCTAAGGCGGGCTTTCCTGCACAGATAAGAGACAAGCCATTTGCACCCCCAAGCCTCATCTTCTACCTTACTGACATATTTTTCTTACAACACAGGAGCAAAATTAGCTCTATTTTAAAGAGGCTTGTTTATAACAAAACTGATGGCAATTTTATGTAATATCAATCCTTTCGTTTGAGAGATCAAAAACATGCATGGGTCAGTTCTCTGCACCTAAAAACAGCTCTGTTTGTGTTTAATGAAAAGGAAAGGATTTTACCGTGACAGAAACGCCTTAAAAGAATCAGAAACACAAAGTGGTTCTAAAGAAAAGCATCAACACTTACTACTTCTCACAGAGTCACATGAAACCTTCATTTGTTCCATATTGTCTGAAGCTACGAAGGGTCACCTGCAGGAACCCCCAAACGAGGTCCCAGACAGGTGGCATCTGTACCCAGGTGCATTCACATTGCTGTGGCGGCCCCTAAATTCAGGGCTGGCCAAAGTGGTCTGAGGAGGCAGAACCGGGGAGATTTTCAGAGGAGTTCCACTCTGTGTTCTCCAACTTCACAGACTGTCTCTTGGTTTGAAGAGTGCAACAAAATTATACTAATGGAAAAAGGTATTTTAAAACTTGCCTTCCGGCAGAATTTCTGGGAAGACCTTTTGTTGTTATTAAACTATAATAGTAAAAACCTTAAAACATCTACATGATTTGTTCTATTTTGGCAAAATTAAAGCATCTTTTGAAGAAAAAAAAAAAGGGCAATCCCAAAATACAGGGCTTTCTTAGAAAGCAACATGCGTCATATCTTGAACAAGTTACCCAAGCGGTTTCTCCCTCCTACAAACAGACACGGTAAGAACGTGTTTCTGGGAACTTCTCTTTGTCCAGGCTGCTCCCTGAGAGGTGAGGCTGAACCCACTGGGAAGCAGGATGGTGTTCAAGGCTTGTACTGTGGATGCTTCTGGAACATCTTTTGCTCTGCCCACAAACAGAAGAGTATCTACTGGCTTTCTCAAGAGGTGCTTGTTTTTTCCCCTCAAATCAGAGTTTAATGTCCTGGGACTCTGACATTTTGGCTAGTGTTTTCTTGACGCGCAGGGCGGTCAGTCGTGATGCAGGATTGTGAGCCCAGCATTCCATCATGAGCTTTCCCATCTGCCTCAGACACTGTGGGAAGGGAAAGGAAAGCTGGAGTAACACGAGACACAGGGATTATCCGCAAGGTGGCCACTTGATATCTGGCTTTTGGTCTGAGGCTTCAGAAGTTTGAATATACATTTTTCATTTTTTTAATGTTTACTTTTGAGAAAAAGAGAGAGAGAGCGAGAGCAAGGGGGCAGGGGCAGAGAGAGAGGGAGACACAGAATCCGAGGCAGGCTCCAGGTTCTGAACTGTCAGCACAGAGCCCAACTCGGGGCTTGAACCCACGAACCCTGAGATCATGACCTGAGCCAAATTCAGGTGCTTAACCAACTGAGCCACCCAGGCACCCTGTAAATATAGTTTCAAAAGATACTCCTAAAAGCATGTAGACAAAATTCCATAAAAAATTCTTTTTTCATACAAATTCTAAATGACTAAAACACATTTTCATGTATTCCTTATGACAGTAGCAAGCAGGTGGTTTTGCTGATTGTAGAAGAGTGTCTTTGAAGTCCGTATTAAACAAATACAAAAATACCCAGGGAGTCTGTGTTCCACTCCACACTCCTACATTGTTTATAACACTCGATGAGCTTAAATCTTTTATCTAATTCCATACTATTCAAACAAACATGGTTATTCCTAAATCACAGCTGTCTGCTACAATAAGAGCATCGCACTGTACCATTTAACAAGATTAATGACCTGTGCACAGCCTCGCTAAAACTTTCTCCTGTGTTCTCCTGTGCCACATCAATTATTGGTCTTCCTGTTGAAAAGCACAATTTCACTTCATTAGAAATCTTCAGTGAAGGGATTCTGAATAATACCAATGCCTGTAACCACCTTCAAAATAACAGAACTCCAGGATCTCATAAAGTTTTCTGCATAGCTCATTGGAAAACATCTGCATTATTTAGCATTTCAGTAACGAGACACAAAAACAATGAACCAAGGATTATTTTTAAATGCATTTAACATTGAAGAATTAGTTTATATACAGTGCTCTTTCCATTTGTTGGCATTGGCTTTGGTACATGTTTGGTGGGGTGGGTTTTGGGGGGTGTTGCTTTTTTTTCCCCCTGGGGATGCTTCAAACTCCTCTCTGAATGTTCCAGCCTGCCCGAGCACTCCAGGACTTGGTGAGTTTACAAGCTTGGAGCGTGGATGCAGAGGAAGCGGAGGAGGCGATGAGTCAGGAAATGCAAGGCCACCTAACTCGCTTCCTCCTTCTGAAGAGCTGCCTTCCAGACCTGCTCAGGTCTCATCACTCTGTCCTCAGAGCCAGGCTGAATATGGGTTTGTTCAGACTGCATCATATCATCGCCTGTTAACAAAGGTCCGTGGCACAGTTGGGCAGCTCAACTAAGTCAACTAGTATCCCTTCAGTGTAAAGAAAACTAGATTCTGCAGATGCCTATCTTTTCTCTCCTCAAGATGAGAGACTGTTGCAGGCTGGTTTGTCATGGAGAAAATCATGATGCTTTAAAGACACACACACACACACACACACACACACACACACACACACACAGAAAGAACATCCTTTATGTAAATGTCAGGACATCACAAACAAGTGAAATAATGTGTACCCACTGTGCAGGCTAAGTGTTAACCCACTCAATATAGTTTAGAAGTAGCAAAAGCAAATTGGAAAAAAGAAACAGATAATTTAACATACTACACTTAGCTCCACATAAATGACTGCAGTGAAGCACCATTACTGTCACCATCAAAACAAAGAAGGAGGATTCCTGTAGTGAATATACGGAATTTCAGCAAAAAGAGAAGAGTCTATTTAGAAGTTGGTCGTAGCCACCTGTTTACCTCAAGCCTTACCTCATCACTGCTCCACCGGTTGGGGAATGAGGGACGTAGCTTCTTGATGCACACGATCTCTCTCATGTCCTCGTAAGAGGGGTCACTGGGCACCAGATCGTGATAGGGAAGCTGGTATTCTTCCACTATACCTGAAAATATGAGTTGTTTTTGAACTATTATTATCGTCACTTTCTATGAGGTAGACATAAACGGCCAACATACAAACCGTTCTCAAAAAGTTCTGTCAGTACTAAAGACAAGCGTAGGCTGAAAAACTGCAAAATAAATCTTGAAAAACTACATGTGCCCCAATGACACTTAATCTAATTAAAAACATAAATAGAAAACCTAATGAAACATATTATTACAGGTTTTTTCTAATTTCCCAAAGCTAAGTAAAACAAGCATCTCAAATTTATTTCCAATTTCATAAAGGGTCTTGTGTGCCAAATTAAAAAAAGAATCTATATTAAATCTCAATGCAAACTTGGCAGGCACCTCCCAAACTCATACCGCATAATATGGGACTGTTTCTATTATTGCAATATGAGATTATGAATCTCATAATACATTTGGCAGTGTGTCCTACTCGAACAAAACGGGAGATTTACATTTTTCTGCTTAATCATAAGAATGCACTTTTCCGCACTTAAAATTCAAAAAATTATACACACCTAAAAATACCAGCCATGATTTTTTAGGTGCAAGAACTGTCTGATTTTTAATTATTTTCTCCTTTAAATTTTCTGTGTTTCACCCAACTTTCTCTAAGAAATGCATTACTTTGAGAAAAAAAGAGGTATTGCATAAAGGAGGGTTAAGATACAAATCTATGTCATCTTAGGAAAATGGCACTTAGCGTGAGAAATTCCGTTTCATTTTTCCTAGTATCTACTTTCTACCTTATTCCTTTTGTCCTTTAGAAAAGCAGGCTACTTATATCTTCTTTTCAGTCCTATCTGATTAACTCCTCACAATAATTACCAGCAGCCTCTGTCCTTAGAGGATGCTGCTCTGAACACTCTATGTGGAGCACCTTTCCTCCCCATCCTGAATCATCTATTACAGAAGCGTAATTGCTTTTATCTGAACAAGATGATACCGCCAGGTTGGCAGGTTATCCAGTGCATCATTAAATTCGCTGGGGTTTACTCTGACAAAAGCAGGAGTCTGTGTTAGGCCCTTTCTTGCAAACTCAAACCCATATATAAACCTAAAGGACGAGAAGGTTCAGCAGTTTCCTCAGACCATTCCAGCTCACTGTCTTGTTCCTCGCTGAGAGCACAGAGCATGACTGCGTGTGTCGTCTACATTAACAGTTCCTTCCATTGTGTTTCATCTCTATAGGAGATACTAAAAGCACAGGGTCTAAAGCATAGGGGATGCTCACACTTCATTTGAGTTCTTCCTCTTCTTCTAACTCTTAAGACAATGGCTCTGGCAACACCTTGAGGGCAAGGGCCACGTCTGTCTTATTCATCTCATATTTTCCTCAATGCCTAATGTTGGTGTCGTTATCAACATGGTGGTAAGCAAGTATACGTACCACAACAAACTCAGAGCCAACCACATAAAATTATGAATTAGTCAAAGTCTATCTTTGAACTATAGGCCCTCCTTCTTTCTCCTTATATGCAATTAAGTTATCAAAACTTCCATATTAGCTGCCATTTAATGGTGTCTGAAACCTCAAAAATTCTTCTTCTTCCCAGGTTTAGTAGACCTACATCCAGATGTATCTAGGTCACCCAATAGTCCCTAGACTAGAAAGACAAGACCAAAACTTCCACCATCTTCATAAAGGAAAGTGTTGGAGAACAGAGTTTTGTGTGTGTTTGCCTTTCTGGAAAGAGAAAACAAACTCACTTATTAGGAACCCACTAGATACCAGGCATGTAGCTAAGTATGCTGTATAACTTATTAAATTTTTATAAACATGTTTGTGAGGTAGCATTATTACCCACATTATCCAGATGAGAAAAGTTGGTTTTGAGGGATTCAGTACCTTGCCCAAGGCCATACAGTTGGTATGGGGCAGAGCTGGGACTGGAATGTCTCTGACAAACATATGCCAATCTCATAAAGAGAAAAGGCAACATTTTAGTACCTCTCAAATCTCCATAGGCAAAGACAGACCTAGTAAAGCAATTAATACCGTGCTGCTTTTATAAGGCTAACTTGTTTTTAAGCTGAGAATCATTTCTCCTGTGTTCCAGCTCACAGGCTTCCAAATACAGGTTTCCTGTGGACTTATTTGCTTTAGATGTTCAGGAAAACGTAATTAGAGAAGTAGTCTCGTAGTCTACTTACTGCTCCTTCAACTTCTACAAACCTGTCGTAAGTGTAAGCATAGTATTCAAAAATAGGCTCATCTACTCTTTATACATCATGAACCAAGGCACAGTTAGTTAACTTCTATTTTGGTTTGCTCTTTTCTTCTTCGTATATAATGGGAGATTTATTCACTATCTCGTTGGGAAACATTTCCTATGTCAACTTTCCTTTTTGCAGTTCTCTCACTTTAGAGGGAACGTGTTCTATTTTAAATTAAGCTTCTAATAGGCTCGGAATTCCCAGAGTGATGAGAAGGCATTGCATCGTGATCTTTCTACCAAAATCTAAATGCCTGTTGATTAACTGTTTCTCCTCTATATTTAAATATGAATCCAAATATAAGTTAAGCCCCTACCAACCAAAATGAAAATTTTAAATAAGAGCTAACATGTATTGAAAGCTATTGATGTACCAGGAAGTTTTAATTCTCTTTAATTCACCTCCTTCTTAAGAAGAGAGAACTGGAATCAAGCTGAGTAACTTGTCAAAGGTTCACAGATAGTAAACAGCAGGTTTGAGAATGAACCCCAGCCCCAGTGAAGTGTTCTCCACACTTTCAGAAGCATGGGCAAACTCAGGGTTTCACAAAAGTGAGTTTAAATTGGCCGTGATGAGCAGCAGCACGGTCTCTTACCAAGCACAGCCATGAGAGTAACCATAAACAGGGTACTTGATAATGAAGAGCCTAAGATTCAGCTTCTCACCTAAAAAGTGTTGGAATCTATTTAAAGACAGATGATGCAGCAGTAAGCGAGATACTACACCCAATAATAATGCCTCTGAATATTTAGTAATGTCTTGCGTTGTCTTACTAGGGAATCCTTGTTTGTAGGAAACTTATCATGACCAGTAGTAATACTCTTATGCTTTCATTTCCTTTTGATAAAAACTGATGTTTTCAAACTGCTTTATGAAGAAGAACTATAGAAAGTCAAGTGTGGGGGGGAGGTTAAGAATGGGTGTCCCACCCCACATTTCTGTCTGTACCTTACTTAACCTGCGTAGAGGAAGCCACAAGGAATGGGGTATTGCAGTTGGGGATGGGGCCCAGCAGGTTGGTGACAAGAAGCTGGAAGGAGGCAGTCCAAGATGATTCTAAGATGTCAGATATCACTTACTGGGGGGAGTGTGACTGTATCAACCGAAACAAGGTGGAAAATAAAAGGCAATCATGGACAATATGCTAACTCCGATCTCTGATCAGAAAGGATTTGTAGTAGATCCAACAGCATCACTGTTACTTACCTCCTGATACACATCTCCTAGCAACCTCCCAGAGGATGAGTCCAAAACTGTACATGTCGGCCATAATGTAAGACTGAAAGTGATTTCTATTTAAGCTCTCGTCCAACACTTCTGGGGGCATATAGCGTTTGGTGCCAACTCGGGTGTTGGGTGGTATGTCAACTTCATTGGTATCACTGAGGAAAAAGGAAAGCAAAGCCCTATCAGCACTGAGCAGGACCAACAAATGACAAGTTGAAGGGATTCCTGAACAGGGTTTTAGCGAAAGGTGGGAAGGGATAGCCTTTCACAGAATAACATTTCCCTGAAGCATATGTTTTGCCAGGAGTTGTATTATATATTCACACGTAAAAACCCAACGAAGATGGCAGAGTGAAGCTACGACATACAAGGTTGCATTGCCACTGGATTAAATATACACTCGGAATAACTGCTATATATCTATTAAAAATGCCTAAAAATATCTTCTTCCCCTTCATATTTTAATAGTTTTGCTCTGAAAATTGGCATGAGCACATGCCAAGGTGGTTCGTTTGAGACAGTATTTTTAAAACCAAGTGTTGCGAGGTTTTTAGAGGTGCAAACAAGTTAAAAAATGAGGGAGGAAGAGAACCAACAAAGACCTGAAAATGTTTTACTCTGATAAGCAGGATCTACAACATGTACTTCTTAATAAAAGGAGGAAAGGAATAACTGAACATAGTATCAGTAGGTGAATGAAAATTTCAGGACGCGATCCATTCATCCTGATGTCCCATAGACTGGGAGAAAATTCACGATGGGTGGACACCAATCTGTAGAATGGCACTTGGGAACCACTGCCTCAGTGCTGCGAGCTGCAGCCGGAGTTCTGAATGGAGATGTGTAAAGTCAAACTACCATTGCTCGATAGGCTGACAACTAACCAAGACGAGGTGTGTAAAATCGCGACCAGCACAGTCCGAAGCATGTATCACAGGTTAACTAGTATTTTCTCAGCAGACACTAGTGGAGCTAGGAAGAGCAATAAACCCCAGTTTTGGTGAAGAAACTATTAAACAGAAAAGACACAAAAAGTCATTGTTAAAACTGCCGTTTGCGGGGGATCGTGGCTAAACCCGGCTATCTCCTAATTCCTAGGGAACATGTGCTCCTTTTCATCACACTCCACTGACTCTCTAGCAGCTACGTGTTATTTCTCCTCCACGAGGAAGTTACACAGAGCAAATATCACATTTATCAGGCTGGGTCACAGGCAATAACGCCAAACTTGCCCAAACACTACTGGCTTTCAGAAAAGAACCTGTGGCTTTGATCTCCCTGCCTCCATCTTTATTGTCTACAACAGAAACTATGCAGTGTCACTTGGGAAAATTTAAAGGGTGGCAGATGTCTCTCTGCAGATCTCCAAACTGTTAACATTTACTAAAACGCATAAAGCTTCATCCTTAGAACCATTTTAAATTCATTTCCAGCTACAAGCCTTAATATAAAGCTATTGCAACAGATGGGCCACCAGTATTCTCATTAGGCCCCTCAGGATCTTCTAGGAGCTACTGCTCTGAGAAAGCCTGTTTGTTTTTAAAATAAAAGTTAAAGTGTAAATTTTTAAAAATGAAAATAAATAAATTTACATATACATGCATATATATATATATATATGTATGTTATATAATATATATTAGTCTGTAATGTAGACTTGGAAGAAAGTGAGCCAAGAAGCAGCTTAATGATAAAATGAAAAATATCAGATTTCAAAGATGCCACAAAAATTCCACTTTTAATTATACTGACATCTCTTCTGTGAGCACGTAGTAGGTACTTCATTAATGTGTTCTAATTTATGATTTTGAATCATTAGAGGAAGACAGTGGTGGGCCTGGGTAGAGAATTCTGGTTTCTATACAAAGAAACAAACATGGGGGTTGGCAGATGGAAAGAAACTGGTAAAGGGCCTAAATTATATTCCAGAACATGGACTGGGGGACGAAATCAAGACCAGTCTTATCATGGGCCCCCCACAAGAGTGTATCTGGGCCAAAGATATACTGTGACCACACTTGATAAAGATTTTAGGCAACTCCTTCCCATTCTTACTCTTAGCTTCTTGTGCTTTATTTGGATTTGCTAGGTCAGGAAGGGCTAACAGAATGTCTGACATGGAGACAATCTATTGTAAACTGAAAGGTAATAGTCACTTGATGACAGAATTAAGACTTCTGATAGGTAGACTACACAGAGTTCATCTCTACGCTCTCATTCCCTCAAACACTGAACAAACTTACAATAAAGGATTTGGTTGGTCCGTCAGATTCCCAAAAAATGTGCAGGCTTGGCACGACTGTCCCCTCTCTTCTTTCCTTTCCCCACCCTTCGTGTTTCCCTAGTAGTATGTGAATAGATGCCCCGCTCAGAATATCTGAATAAGTATCTGTCTTCCAACCTAAAATGTAAACTCCTTGAGCCCTAAATATCTACCATAATCATTTCATAGCCCTAAAGAGAATTGTCCTGATCCCTCTCCATTCACAATGGGCTGTGCACATGGTTGGTAAATAATACACTTTAACTGAAAGAAAGAAAAGGCCAGTCTACGGTAAACTTTGCTATAGATACTTTAAAGAGAAATATAAAAAAAATCTCTGTGGCACCTGGGTGGCTCAGTTGGTTGAGCGTCCGACTTCAGCTCAGGTCATGATCTCACGGACCGTGAGTTCAAGCCCGCATTGAGCTCTGTTCTGACAGCTCGGAGCCTGGAGCCTGCTTCACATTGTGGGTCTTCCTCTCTCTCTCTCTCTGCCCTCCCCTGCTCATGCTCTCTCTCTCTCTTTCTCTCAAAAATAAACATTAAAAATATAAAAAAAAAATCTCTGTTGTATATAGACCATAAAATGAGACATTACCAATATCTAAGAGGTTAAATAAAATTTTGTTAAGCAAAGTAACGTTGTAAAAGATTACTGTTAACCTAATGGCAAATGCCTTCAGCACTACACTTAAATGACAAACACGCCAATTATAAGTACTTCATATCGGGGCGCCTGGGTGGCGCAGTCGCTTAAGCGTCCGACTTCAGCCAGGTCACGATCTCGCGGTCCGGGAGTTCGAGCCCCGCGTCAGGCTCTGGGCTGATGGCTCAGAGCCTGGAGCCTGTTTCCGATTCTGTGTCTCCCTCTCTCTCTGCCCCTCCCCCGTTCATGCTCTGTCTCTCTCTGTCCCCCAAAAAATAAACGTTGAAAAAAAAATAAAAAAAAAATAAGTACTTCATATCAAACATCATAAAGGGGCAGACCCTGCAAGACATATATAGCTCCAGCCCCTCTTCGCTCAGGAGTGTTTCTATATTGGAAAGTAATTAAACTGCAGCTCTCTCTCAGGTTTTCAGTAACGTTATCTTAGCTGCTCCCAAATTAGGGAAGAGAAAAAGTAAGTTTGTTCATCTTCAAGACCAAAAATAGAAGCCAGGGATATTGACACTGGGGGACCGAGAATAAAGGAAGAAAAAGAGGCCGTAAGTAGAGATCAATGGTGCAGAGCATGTAAGAATAGGGGATAAAGTAACTGAAGGAAGGGGTCAAGGAGGAAGAAGGAAACAGGAAAGGTCAGGGCGCCTTCAGCTTTCCCTGGCTTCCTTTTCCATGAAGGGGCAGTTCATGAGAAAAGACAGATACTGTACAAGGAGGGCAGAGTCGGAGAAACGAACTCTAAATGCACAAAAGAATCCTCTGTGCTGCAGCGGCCACATGTACATGTGGTCAAATCATAAAATCACTCAGAGCAAAGATAAATACCAACTTCAGGATACTAGCTACTTCCGGGTCGGGTAAAGGGGAATAAAATAGGGAGCAGAATGCAAAGGGCTATCTTCAACATTGCATTAAAAAAAAAAAAAAAAAAAAAAAAAAAAAAGACCAGATAAAAATAAGGCAACTTGTTAACTTTGTTAACATTATAACAATTGTTACATGAGTGCCTTATTATTTTTTATACTTTTCTGTATATATAAATATATTTTAATTAAATATATTATAAAGGAAAAGAATTCAGCAGGGTAAGGAACAAGAAAAACATACCTTTCAAGGATTAAGGGATAGGTTGGAAACATAAGGCTCTGAAGAGCAAAAGTGGACCCAAGTAGAGAAGATGAGTTTCTACCAGGAAAAACCAAAAATATTCCATCAAAAACATGGGTGCCACGTTCACTGTAGAGGAAAACATGATCTCTCCTGCCTTCCAATGGAGAAGAGTTAGAAATATTTGCACAAAGGGCTCATAACTGAAAAATTGGGTTTAGAGAACTACAGGGGTAGATATTTTTACTTACACTTTAATAATTAATCCTTCTACTAGATCCAACATTGACTTTCATCCCTGTTAATGTACCAGTGTGATACAGGCTTAAGTAGAATGTGAAAAAACATAAAAATATAATTTGAATGAGGCACCTGGGTGGCTCAGTGGGTTAAGCATCCTACTCTTGATTTTGGCTCAGGTCATGATCTTACAGTTCATGGGATCGAGCCCCACATCAGGCTCTGCACTGACAGCTCAGAGCCTGTTTGGGATTCTTTCTTTCTCTCCCTCTCGCTCAGCCCCTCCCCCACTTACGTGTGCACACGCTGTCTCTCTCCTTCTCTCTCTCTCAAAATAAATAAACTTAAAAAAATATATCTAAATATATATATATATTTATTTAATATATATAAATATATATATTTATATCTTTTTTGAACAAAATAAATTAAGGGTTGTCAGGCAACTTCCTCTCCAGGAAAAAAAATTGTTTTAGAATCTTACATTACTGGGTATTTTACTTTATGAACTTTAGGGACAGTGGGCTGGGACAGGATTAAATAAAAACACCTAAAATTTTCTGAATAAAAAATAAACAGTAATTTGGGAGGTTGGGGGTAAAGAGGCAAGTCAATTAGGGAGAAAAAGGGTTCTCTCCTCTGACCTAGAGTCATGACAAGATGTTAAGCTTCTGTAGGAAACAAAGATCAGGAAAATGTTCTGGTGGCATGAATTTCATGACTAAATTTTACACAGTGCCCTACAACGTATCTCAGCAAAGCTCTCTTCAACCTTGAGTTGATGGTGTTTGGCAAAGAAAAGAATCAGCTACTATACTATGTGGAGGTATAGCAAACATATATATAGAACATATATCAAAGATATAAGGCTGATAGGACAGAGA